CTTTGCTTGCTTTCTGCTATGTAATTCTCTTGCTAAATGTCTGTATGTATTTTTCCTGCTGTTCATATGATTCAGTGTATTAAACTCTGTTCCAAGAATTCTACTCTTTTCCAGGGCATCTTTTTGAGTGTCTTGACTTTAATTGGATCTAAAGAGGTTGGATCTCTACATCCTTGGTGGGAGAAGGTTATCAGGATGGCTTCAAAATTTGCGACCACAGCTGCTCAACTGAGATGGATGCCTTCCTCAAACCACAATCCAAAGCGCGCAAGACTGAAATCCTCATTTAACATTGCTATATTATTGACTTACTTCACTCAAACATGAAATGGACAATTTAATCTATCCTCTCTGCATATCATGTAATTTCTACACTATATAGTTACACTTAACTTTAAAGCATGAGGCAATTGTGTTAAATATGCTTACATAAATCCAAGAGATGGCCAATCCCTTTTTTCAGTGCAGATCAGAGGCCCAGGACCATGACGAGTATCTTTTTATTCATTGAAACCTTTTTTTGCACATCCAGTCAGATTTCCATGTGTCCATGAGTCATATCACTTTAAACAGTTGTTTAGAATTGGTGTTTAAAGAGGTGGAAGTATTATTACTTAAGCAATGTGTTTCGGTCTGTTGCCTTCGTCAGGCACATGTTTTAGTTATACTCTATAATCTATATAACGTAATGTGACTGAATGCAATTATTTTTTTGGAAGAAACATTTTTCAAAGCAGGTATGTTCATTTGTCTTTGTTGGTAAAGTGCAGGAGTTGATACTTTCTTTATTGGATTTCCACCGTCAGAACAACATGAACTGTACACGAGACATTCAATAGTCACAGGAATTTACCTTTTTTTATTTATTGCAGTAATTTTCACTTATTCATGTGTTAAGTTCCATGAAGTATAACCAAGCTAAATTTTCTTTGTGCATAGTAATAATGCCAATTAAAACTACTGCTAAAGATCTGACCGGTGGGGCTCTTTTTGATGTCTGAAACGTGTGGGTCATTTCATTTAAAGAAGTTATTCACACTTCCGTACAATATTTTTTTTCTCATGTATACATTTTTATTTTTGTATTAGTCTAATGTCACTGTCCAAGTCAGTATTATCATTGCATCAGTATCATCATAATAGTAAATAAAGAGTTTCTTTTGTCACAGGATGTCGCACATCGTCACTCCACATCAAACAGGCAGGAAACCATTGGCGTGTGACCTCTTTTTGTGTCTACACAGAGTATGAGAAAAAAAAAAGTCAGTTTACGCTGTCACTTCTGCAAAGATGACACGACTCTACTGGGCCATGTTATTGATCGGGTTTTGTTCCAGTTCAGGTACGTCCACATCATTTTCTTAAAATATTTTATTGTTTTAATGCAGCTGAAATCTGCTTGCAACAATATTTACATAACTAATTTAGAAGGATAGCTTCAATGAGTGATTTACGTCACGTTGATGTTTGCTGTGCGTCTCTAGTGCAGATGTCTCTGTTTTATTCTGTGTTTGTCCATCATCTAATCAAACATGTTGCCTCTTCTATAACAGAGAGCACTATAATCATCATAGAGCCTGGTGAGAGCATCACTTTGAAGTGTTCATCAGAAGGATGCCCCCCCAAAAATGATGGATATGCTGGGATGTATCTGTATCATAACTTTATTGAACAGAAAGAGGTGTATTTCTATGGTAACTATGCCAACAGCGAAATCATGGAGCGACCACGATACGAAGGCAGGATCGAGTCAAACGGCGCTCCCATGAACCACAACATCACCATCAGCAACTTGACCGTGGATGATTCTGGTGTCTACACTTGTGTCTACAAAGAATCCGCTGACAAAGGTGTCAACTGCAATGTCTACACAGTTTTCGTGAGAGGTGAGTTTCTTTTCTTCCTTGTTAAAAATTCTGCGACCTTGTTCTGCAGCTCACAAGCCTGTAGAATCAGCCAAGGACAGTGGACTGCATGCAGTATTTAGAGAGTCAAGATCTGACCCTTACTTTTTGGCCCCAAATCTGCTTCTATCTTGATGAATATATGAGAAATTACAGAAATATATGAGAACAGAATGAGGTGTATTTTTATAGCAATCATATCAGTGGCAAAGTTATAGTGCGACCGTGATATGAAGGCAAGATTGAGACTGAAGGAACCTCTATGAACCATAGCATCACAATAACCAGTCTGACTGTGGATCATTCTGGTGTCTTCACTTGTGTCTACAAAAAATCATTTGACCATAGAGTCGTGCAGCGTCTACACCGTTTTCATACGTGTGTTTTCTTCTTGTTAAAAAATGCCACAAAAGAGTTGGCCAAGTGCAGTGCAGTGCATACCCTGTACCTGTTACATATTTAATAGATAACCCTTACCTTTTGACTTTTTGAGAAAATGCAGAAACATGTATGAAAAAGCAACAATTTAATTAATCTACTTGTTTTTGTTTTTTTACCTATACAGTCATGATGTTACAGCTAAATGGGTCTTTTGGTTTTTGGCAGAGGTAGCACGCTATATAAACACTGTTTATTAAAAAGCCTAATCACTATATTAACACAACAGTGGCTAGATTTAGCTCTTTGACTTATGTAAAATACAGTTGTTTGCTTTTAATATAGTTAATTTTCTACAAAATTTTAAATGAACTGAAACATCATACACAAGTACATTTACATCTCTTCTTGTCTATGTGATACATACAAGGGAGTTTTAGTTTATATGCTCTCTCCTTTAGGTTGATCAGGAATTGCAAATTTACTCTTAGTGAGGGGTCTGCAAGCTAAAGAAATTCCACGAATGTAATAATTATAGCAAATCTTTTGTGCAGCTGCAAGACAACAACACATTTGTTTTCCTTTATTCTCACAGAAGTGGCACCATGCCTGGGACAAGATGACCTTCCCACCTCGGTGTTAGTTGTCATTACCTGCACGTACCTTAGCGTGCTGTTAATCATAATCTTTATCCTACTGATAGTCCACAGGGTGAGTTGACTTGATTACATAGCTGTCCTATATTGTATTTTAAAAAACAAGAACATGCCCTTATATGGGGACAGTTGGTTTATTTTTACTGCATCAGAAAAGAGTTTAAGGTGCAAAAAAGTCACAAAAGTAATGTCCCCATAAGAGAACACAGAGTCTCAAGGAGTTAAAATGTTTTTACAGTATGCAAGATAATCTATTCCAGTTCTGCAAGCTATGACACACTGCCTTTCTGTCTGTAGAGTTTCACAACACTTTGATGTAACTGCTGTGACCGTGATAGATGTTGTTGTGCTGAGAGACTGATAACATCTAAAACCACCACTTTATATATACTCCTTGTTCTGTTGCTTCTTGGAAGACTATAAACTATTCACACTTTGGCACAGGTTATATAACAGATGAATTATTAATAACATTATGACTTACTTTCCCCTTTGACATACATACTACCGACAGGTGAAACAAAGGAAGAGCTGCAGAAGATTATCCAGGAGTTCGCAGCAAGAACCAGATGATTATGTATATGAAGTTATGACCAAGAACAGCCTCTACACTTTGGCAACTTCACCGCAGCATTCTTAAAGTCCTTATGAGTTTTCTTAGAATTACAGTATAATTATTGTGGTTAACAATAGAATTTAGGAATCTGATTGTGTCTTATTGATTTTGTTAATAATGGTTAATGGTTTGCCTGGACTCATGGACCATATCAATCATGCTCCATAAAGTCTCATTAAAAATTAAAGTATAAAAGTTATTAAACTCTCAGAAATGAATGAAAGCCATGCAGGAGGCACAGTGACTGTCCCACAGGAAGTATGCAAACTGATCACCAAAGCTATTTATTACTTTATCTATAGAATTTATATTACTGTGGAGCACAACATTTGCACAATAAAGCTTACTGATTTGTTCAATTCCAACATGAATGCAACTGGTGAGTGTTTCTGGCTTCTTTACTGCAATATAGGGCAAACATTTTTGAGGTTTGTGGGGGAGGGATGGATGAGATGTGAGCAGAAACCAACTAAGAAGACGGGCAGGAGCAGATGGGTAAATGGTTTACATGACTAACTGCAGATTTTGCACGGTATATTATTACAGACAATTATTTTTTACCATAATAAGGTGTATAAAACAAATAAATGTACAATAAAAAAACATGCTTTTTTCCAAGTAAATATATATTTCTAAAGGTGCTATTGATGTGAAAGTCTCACTAGGTTTCAGCAACAATCCATACAATCCACAAAATAAGAAATCAAACCACTGATGTGCAATAATGAGAAATCACAGAGAAAAAGTATTGAAAATGCTTAATGAAATGTATTTAACCTTTCATACAAAAACCTTGTTGGCTGTATGGAGAACCATGCATTGCTCTGGTTTGATTGTGGTTCATTTGTCCACACAAAAGTCTTAAAAAAAGTTTTGTGGGCCCTCTGAGCTTTAGTTCTTTACATTTTCAGCTGGATTCAGGTCAGGTGATTGGCTCGGCTATTCTAGCAAACTTTATTTTCTTTTTCTGAAACCACCTGAGAGTTTCCTTGGCTGTGTGTTTCTCATCATTGTTTTGCTGAAACATCCACCCTCATTTCATCTTCGTCATCCTGGTTGATGGCAGCAGATTGTTATCAAGAATGTCTCGGTACATTTTTCCATTCATTCTTCCTTTAATTATATGAAGTGTGCCAGTGTCGTCATGCTGGAAAACAGCCCCACACTGTGATAATCCCACCTCAAACCTCACTCTTGGTGTAGTATTTTTGGGGTGATATGCAGTGCCTATTGACCTACAAACCTGGTGTGTATTATGGCATTCAAAGACTTCGATTTTGGTCTGATCTGACTTTCAGCTTCTGTAAATGTTGTTCAGTTGCTGATTCATGTATTCGTATTTATGTTTTTGTGTTACAAATGCTTATAAATTCTCATATTTTCTCCCCCTCCCTTTTTAAAAAATTGTCATACCACAACTATAATGTCATAATTGAGTTAACAGTAATAAAAATTCATAAATAAACAGATAAAAGAAACACACACAAGAGGAGCCTGTAGAAAACTTATAGAGCTCCCCTTGTAAAAACAAAATATGATGGCACAACAGTGCATTCAGATCATAACTCTGATTGCAAAAGCTGTCAGACATGACAGGATTTTAAAACAAACAAACAAACAACAAAAAAACAGATCATTCTGAGATGGAAATCATGGCTCAGGATGCTGAGGAAATGGCTGAGCGTCAGTCTTCACTGGATCATTGCACTAGTGTTTCCCAGCTCTTTGACACTGTGAATGTTGTTCCCTTGCCTGTGAAAGAGTTTCTTACCTGCTTTTCCGGTGCAGGGGTTTGCCTGAAACCTTAAAACCCATGGACATGTAGTTGTGAGCAGCCTCTTGTCTTGAAGTGAGCATTTGGATTTGAATTTTTTTTGGATACTGTGGAGAGTCTAAAAGGAGACTGGGACTGTCACTGTTTTTAATTTGGATGTTATTGAAAATTCACTGTAAATGCATTGAACTCTGACCACATTTGAGTCCTGCATTTGAGTTCTGCCTGTTCCTAGAACCTCGGCAGAGAATCTGTGGTATAAACTTCATGTGTTTGTTAAAGCAACTGCACACATTCAGAGAGTACAGGCAGAGAATAATTTAAGCCCCAGTATACTAACCTTTTGCTCTGAGGTCTGTGTGTGCATAATAACATCAAGCAGTGGGGCATATTCAAACCACAGGAAGACGTGGGAGTGGGAACCGCTTTGTTTGTCTTGATGCCCTTTGCTGAAGCAGTATCTGATATGTATAGATGTATCTTCTTACTTCTACTTTTATGTTGTCTGTCAAGGTTTTAAAGAAAAATTAAATCGCTTGAATTTCTGGGATGGTGGCAAGTTGTTGTGTCTTTGTGTATGTGTATGTAAGACTTTGTGCGTTGCTATTAAATGCTACTAATTGATCTTGCAGATGCTGCATTTTTATCTTCTCAACTGTAACAGCATGGGATTTTCCCAATAACTGTCGACATGCTAAAAGATTGCAGATTATTCTTGCTGTTAGCAAATCAAATCAAATCAAAAGAGTAAAAAGAAGGATTTATAATGTAAAAAATAATTTATTATGCTTTTATGAAATATATTAATCTCAATTACAAAACAATATATGGGACAGCCTTACTTATAAAGGTTAGTAACTTACATGCATGTGGTGTACAAAATATTAGCTTGTGGACAAAATGTATTATTGTTTGTACATATTTGAGGATTTTTTTTTCACTTTACTTTAATAAAAATGGATTTAAAACAAGAATAACCAGGACAGGCAGGATTTGTTGTGTAAAAAATAACATGCGCTGTTACATGAACAGCTACTGGTTCCATTTGTGACTGTATCCAGAAAAAAGCCCCTTAATATGAAACAGACCTTTACGGATCTGTTTCCCTTTCACACACTGACATGACTGAAGCTCCGTCTACAACATGTAAACTCAGTTAACTCAATATAGATGTTATTACCTCCTGATCTCTTCCCACAGATATATTTGCTTCCATTAGACCTTGTTTTCACCTCCTCATAGTTGCTGTCATGTCCAATTTTCTTGTGAATGGTCAAAAACAGTCAGTGTTTTTGCTCGTTTTCTTAATAAACACATGTGAACCAAATGTCAACTTAAACTAAATTAGACTAAAACATGTCATCATTTATTCTTCTGATAATCCTAAATACCTTATGACATCAGAAATCTGCATATGGACACAAGATCTCTGTGAGTGCAATAAAAATGTCAGAGCTGCACAGATTTATAACCATGCAACAAACTGTCCCACAAAGTTGTGTATTTACAGCCGTTTGTTGCACAAGAGCTTTCATCAAGTTGAGATTTGAACTTCCTCGCAGCTGTCAGGACACGTTTTTCTGCTCAATTTCAGGTGAAGATTTGTAATATTGTGCCATTATTATGGATGTTTCCTATATCAAACAGATGACCTGTAAAGTAACTTCAATAGGATAACACATAGATGTTCTGGGTGTTTTTCTCATCATAAATAAACCAAAAAAGGAGGTTTGTGACAGGCCACCTGAACAGGTGTGTCAACAAAGTACGGGGCATCAATTTAGCTTTCCCTTAGCTACAGTAATCTTACTCGTCTGTGTGTATAGGTCTATGGAATACAATATTTTTGTTTTTGTTTTTTTAATGTTTGACAAATTTGAGTTATTTTATTTTGAAGGTGTTATTCACTTGTTCACCCACTTGTTCTTCATGCGTTTTCATTGAGCCATATCAGTCTTTACGTGTTGTAATCTAAATCAGTAACTGACTGAATGTAATGGCTTTATCTGACAGGATGCACACATCTTCAGTCTACATCAAACATACAGGAAACACTGCTTGCTGTCTCTTCTGTGTGTGTATATACAGAGTGTGAGAAATTAATTAAGCATCATATGCTGTCACTGCTGCAAAGATGATGCTGTGTTTGACCTTATTATTGATTTGTTATGACGCATATTCAGGTATGTCCATTTATTTTCCTTATTTCTCCAAATATTTAAAGGTTTTGATTTTAAGTCTGCTTGGAACAAGACTAGAGGATTTTCTTTTTAAATTTTGCCTTGTTACTGTATTATTATATGTACCCTTGACAGATTCTAAAAAGAAATAAGGATGTTTAGTCACTGCTAGTGCAAATGGCTCTGTTTTATGTCATATTTTACACCCTGTAATTTTGCCTCTTTTATAACAGAAGGCACTATAGTCATCACGGAGCCTGGTGAGAGCATCACTTTAAAGTGTTCCTCAGAAGAATGCCCCCAAAACAATGGTCGATATGTTGGGATGTATCTGTATCATAGGTTTACTGAACAGAATGATCGCACAGCAAAGTTATTGTGCGATCGAGATACAAAGGCAGGATTGAGTCAAATGGAGCTCTCATGAACCAAGCATCACCATCAGCAGCTTGACTGTGGAGGATTCTGATGTCTACACCTGCGTCTACAAAATATCAGTCGACAAGAGTGTTGAGTGCAAAGTCTACACAGTTTTTGTGAGAGGTATGTTTTTCTTTTATATTCTCAAAACTCCACAGTCTCATCCAGTAACTCAGAACAGAAATGCAGCATTTAAGAGTTAAAATTTCCATTGAAAGGTGTAGTTGAGAGATAAGTGTTATCTTTACAACAAACTGAGCTTTCACATTGAGTTAAAGCAAGAAAATACAGAAAAATCTAAGAAAGAACAACAGAGTAACAGACAGCAAATAAATGTATAAATAAATATTTAACTGCTTGTTAACACATCTAATCAGCAAATTACATGGAATAAACTCAGTTTATTTAGATCCTGTTGAGATCTAAACTGAGCACCAGAACAGGGATGAAGGTTTAAGCGACTTTGAACTTGACATGGTTGTTGATGCCAGACGACCTTATTAGACTATTTCAGAATAGGCTGAACCACAGCTATCTGTAGGGTTAACAGAAATCAGAAATCAGAAATCAGAAAGGGTTTATTGCCAGATGTTGAGCAGGTTTACAACATTAGGAAATTGCTGCGGTGCTTCAGTGCAACATACTGTCATAAAAATATAAAAATAAGAATAAGAATAAGAATTAAAGTGCTAAGTGGATAGATATATACATGATATATACATGAGTGCAGGTGGTGATCAGTGCCAAACATGGAATGATGCAGTGACACAGCGTAGGGTCATGTGTTAGTGGTGGGAACAGTCATATGGTTATTGTTCATGTGTCCGACAGCAGAGGGGAAGAAACTGTTCTTATGGCGAGAGGTTCTGGTGCGAATGGACCGGAGCCTCCTGCCTGAGGGGAGCAGGTCAAACAGACTGTGTCCAGGGTGAGAAGGGTCAGCTGAGATCCGAGCTGCACGCCGCAGTGTCCTGGAGGTGTACAGGTCCTGGAGAGATGGGAGTCTGCAGCCAATCACCTTCTCAGCAGAGCGCACAACACGCTGCAGTCTCTGTTTGTCCCTGATAGTGGCTCCAGCATACCACACAGTGATGGAGGAGGTGAGGATGGACTCGATGATTGCAGTGTAGAA